ATACACTTCATCAGTTATTTACTTGATAAAACAGCATTCCTTTTAATGCCTCAATCATTTTCCATATCAGGCAATTCTTTTTAATTTTGTCGTTATTATGCAAGTTATGATTTTGTTAGTATGTATGTAGTATGTATGATTGTAGTAATGTAGTAATTGTAGTAATTGTAGTAATTTTGAATTTTTGTAGTACTTAATTAGGAAAATGTAAGCTGTTTTTTCTGGTACATGTGTGTTTGAACATGTATCAAGGACAACAAAACCAATGTTAATAGAGATCCCTTTATAGTATCTATAACTCAAAATACATTTATATTTTATATTGCTGCATGCCTTATTTTTGCATTTGCTCATCTCTGTCTTCTAGTTGCATTGCTAATTGAAGGAATCAGATTTTATCCTTCATATTCCCAAAATGATCTTCAGTCTCCATTCTTCTAGGTACTATCAATTATCCATAATAAACATGTAAAAGAAATCTAAATAACATATAACTTATTTTTACTTGCTTCAGGATCAAACATCATCATAAGAATCTCAGATTCTTCTGAAATATGAGTAATATGAACAGATAGCATACAACTATTTTGCCATTTTTACTTTACCTTTTAAAAATGATTGACACTGCTTTGCTTTGGTTCCTTTAACACTGTTTTAAAGCTTGATGATTTTAATATTATATACATTTTTTGCAGACTGTAAGAGTTCCACAACAACAGCACTGATAGCATTCAGCCTAATAAATTAACGAGGTAGAATTAGGGAAACATCCCAAAACAGAAAACATTTTAATTAACGAACATCATGGAAAAGATGGTGCCTATCCTTTGTCGTATCTAGATATCTCCTTCTCTGTTTATGTATTGGCACACAAAATTGCTTTTGCTACTTTTAAGTAAGGTGGTTGGACATCACAGCACCAAAAATAAATGGAAATAAGCAAGTAAGTTCTTCTGGTACTATTTACAACGCAATACATGTTACCTTACTTCACCTCCTGCTACATTGCTCCATTGTTCTCAGTCCATTCATTCTAATCACTTATTTTGAATTCCACCAACTTTCTGGTTATGTATGCAAAAGTTTCAAAGACTTTCTTACAGTTCAAGGTAATCTTCATTAAATGTGAATTAATGTGCATAAGTAAGGGGAATACAGGATGTTAGATTGTTCTAAAGTATGAACCTATGTATGTTTAGGAAAACTTACACAAGTAGATGATCTGTGGTGTGAATGCCTGTTCTAAAAATGCAGTTCTTTTTAACACAGCAATTTGATACTTCAAATACGTATGCAAGGGGAATTATGATTGCACATTGACTATTCAGGATGAAAGTTGTTTTAGGTGAAGTAGAAGACTGAGAAAAGTAAATAAGGAGAGCGAGGTGAGAAACGGATTCAGCTTATGACCGCTAAATTTAGGTATCTAAATTGAGATGTCTGCAGTGAGGTAAGCGTCTTACTTTGCTTTACAGTCAATAGCAGCCTGGTCAATATGGCTAAAGTTACACTGTGATTCAGCCAACACACCAATGGGTGTCCACTTCTGAGTTTAATCACTTTCCAAGCTACACTGTCTATAATGGAAAATTAGATTCCTAGCTCATCTGTAGATACTTGAGTTTGGGCACATAAATTTAGGTGTTATAAGCTTGAGTTAAATCCCACTTGTGTCACACAGCTCATTACTTTGTTTTCAGCATTTGTGCTGGTAGGCAGAGCAGGTTAGCATCCTTAACAAAAATTCATCAGGTTTCTGTGGACAGACTTTCAAAATATTTAACAATAGAGTATAGCCCTGATACTTGTTTGTATGGGTGACACTCACTGTACATAAACAGTGGTTTTGTGTCAGCTGCATACTTTAATTTTTTCCTTGTTTCATCTTAACACACTTTTTCTTGCTAACTGCATTGTTTTCCATGTACCTGCGCTGCCACATCCCCACAGAATATTGTGTGAGTGGGGAGTGGGTGCTTGTGTTCCTAGAGCCTGGGACAGTGAGACCAAAGCTATAAAGCCAGCACAGAGAGGAGCTGGGTGAATCCACTCAGAGGTGTTAGTACTCAAGTCCTCCCAAGAAGGACTGCCGTCTGGATTTCCAAAGCCAGAGCCCTCAAACCTGGGAGCCTCAACACAGTGACACACAGCCTGTATAGCATGGCTTGCTTGTACGTCCAGGAGCCAGCCTGGCAAGGACCAAATACCTCCACAGAGAAATTGTGAAATGCAGAGCTTTAGCAACACTGTTTCTACAGTGCACTGAGTAACTGAAGTGAACACTGTAAGTGAACAGTTTGCACAGCTCTGTCTGGGCATAGGACTGTGGACTTGACACGGTAGAAATGTATAAAAATTTTAACCATCCATTTCTCTTCACATCTTCCTTTACTCAGCTCACCCTGAAACTAGTACATGTCCTTCTACACAAAAGATTCTTCCCATCCAATTTGAACCCTGTACCTACTTTCCCCTTTTTTCTCAAAGTCCTGTTCACACTGGAATAAGTTTACATACTTCTGGTAAGCACAATCTCCAGAGCTTCTTTTTCCTTTCTCACTTTCTAAACCAACTTGCCAGTTTTTAGGACTGGAAGATATTACTGGATCATGGCAGCATGCTAACAGTAGCAGGTAGTGCTAAAGACTCTTTGTTTAGAACTTAAAAGTGAAGCTAAGAATTAAGATTGTGTTCAGGAGCAGAGAAACTTAAAGAGATGGGTTAAATTATTGCAGTTCAAGACAGAACTTTGTTTCCACTATTTCCCTGGTTGAAAACAGAAAATATCTTGTAAATGCGTTGGGCCAATTTCCTTTTCTTGTTTAGCAGTACACTTACCAATGGTTCTACTGGATTCAGTGTTGCCTGTGCTGTTTGTTAAGGTCTTTCTCACTAAATATAGAAGGATTTTAGAACAAATATTAAGGCAAGTTTAGCTAAATTCTATTGATAAAGTTGGCTGTGATGCCAAAATAATTTATTGTTTGTGGGCTGATTTGTCATCCCCACTCCCTATCATTCCTTCCCATAGCTTCACATTAGAGAATTCTCTTGTCACAGGGGAAGCTCGTGTGCAAGCTGACTCTCCAGAGCCTAGTCTAAGTCTGAAAACAGACAGGGCTGTCAAGTACAGGACAGATTTTGTGAAGTAGAGAAGACCTTAGGCTGCCGACTGGACCTTGACACAAGAGAATTTGACCCTACGCATACAGGTTTCAACTCAGTTTCTGAAATAAATCTGCGTGACAACTTTTGGGTTTTGCCTTGTTCAAACGTGCAACTATTTGGTCCACAGAATAACACAGTTTAAGTATAGGAACAGCACTTGTTAATGTCAAAACATTGTTTATGTACAATTTAATCTCCTGTGATGGTATATTTATTTGCTGTATACTTGCTTGAGTTATTTTCATCAAGAAATTCTGTCTATGTGTCGCTTTGGCAACATCTTTGCAGAGTTTACAACTTTGAAAAGCATGTTGGCATCAACTATGCAGTCCTTTTAAACAGCTGCTCTGCAGTCATGCTGTTTCAACATGCCACCACACATGGCTGAATTATGCAAACAGTTAATATTAAATGACTGAGATAGAAGAACAATTTGTACACTCGATAAAGTTGGTCTGTGGAGTGTAACATCCATTCATATAACTGAGTTAGTGTGGGACAATTTCAAGGCAACAGCATGATTCTTTTGACATTGTATCTTGTATTAAAGGCAGCAGTGGACAGAAAGAAGGTATATAGCAGGAAAAATAAAAGGCTGAGGGTTTTTTTTTAACTCGTTATTAATAATGCAATGAAAATAGAATGTGCATCAATGTAATTTTCTGGCAAGTATTAAGAAATAGGTAAGATATAACAAATGTTTGTCATTCAGCTATAAATATGAGTTACCCTATTCTGATTCACAGATAAGACAGAATGTTGATTATATAGAATGCTGATACATTAAGAGTATTGCTTATTGAAGACAACACTATTTGTAAAAAGCAAGTAAACAAAACCATTAACAGTTAAAAAAATATAAAATTGTCTTAAAATTTACTGTGAAAGGCTTTTCTACTGACCTTGGTGTTCTAACTCTGCAATAATGAATGATCTAAATAATAATAGTACAATAAATAATAATAATTAAAAATAGTGCTTTAAATTCTGTAACTTATTTTATAGTAATTACACCTATTACATGTGGGAGTGAGAATGTCAGGCAGTAGTTAATGCAAAATGACAAAAGAAGATGTCCAGTTAAAGTCACAAAATTCTATGTTTTTTTCTTTTCTCGCTCTGCTGTACATTTTGAATAATCTGTTTTGTTCAGCTAAGTAGTAAGAAAAGGTTACTTTTTTAATTAGTCCAAATTGCTTACAAAGCAAATTAATAGAACATACAAAAAAGTCTGCATTTCTATGTGCTCTTGGGTTTCTTTTCCCATGTTGGAAATTTCATTTTTCACAAAATTTCTTTTCCACTCTGATCCCCTTTTTGCTATAGGTCCTCTTAAGGTTTTTCATTCATTTTTCTTTTCTGATCTGGATATAAAGACACATATCTATTTCTAGTAATATATTTAGAAGACTTCTGTGCAAGACCTAGTGCTTGAAAGTATGATTTGTCACAGTCATTCAAATTAGATTTGTAAAATCTCTCGGCCTGACAAAGCAAATTCAAAAGAATTCTTTTAAGTTAAATGGAAGCTTAAGTCAAAAGAGATAGTGGGTTCCTTATTACGCAATAAATGTTCTCTTTGACAGCCTTTAAGCTATACAAAATTTGAGTTGTATAAATTCTAAGTGCCTTTTTTATTTTCTTATTTTTACCAGTGTTCAATTAGTAATCGTATTAATTATGGTAAGTGTATATTCATGCTTGTTAGATTTACTGATCCACTTACACATTTAGTTTGGTGAATATAAATTTATTACTAACAAATAAGTATTTCACAGGTTCAAATGTAACTTTACTGAATAACTTGGAATTGTTCTTTTGTGGTTTTATAGGAACTAGCCACGATGAAACAGATTCTAATTAGTCTACATGGTAAACGCTATGAACAAACTTTACCTCAGTCTCATATTGATGTAAAAAGTGTGACTGCAAAAAACAAATCAAACCCTTCAGTAAAACTGCTGCCAGAACATGAAGAAGAAAACATATTTACACCTAAGCCAACGTTATTTGTAAGTACTATAAGAGTAGCTTTTTTGATAATTCTTTTTTCTTTTTAAAAAGAAAAATGTGAGTTCATACTTCAAGGAGTTGTATAATTAATTCAGCTGAATACTTGCAGCTTTTTACGGGAATGGTCAATGTTGATGAGATAGATTACAGTTTATGATGTTATTTAGCTATTTGGTAGTTTCTACATCTTATGTTCACAGCAAACTAGATTTTTTTTTTAAAATGCTATTATAATATTACAATATTAAGAGTGGTTAGCAAAATTTTAATAGCCGAAGGGAGCCACAGACTGTATATACAATTTTAAATCTACCCTGATCATATATGAGTTGAGTGTGTGTGTATATATATATTAAGGTGCAGGAGTGAGGAAATAGGTATATTTATGTATACTTATATTCATGTATATATGTATATTAATGTGTGTATATAGATATATAAATATATACAAGAAATACATGCCCAATATTGATATCAATATATATACAAGAAATATATAAATATATACAAGAAATACATGCCCAATATTGATATCACTTCTGTTACTAAGGATAGCTGATATTACAAAACCCCATTTTATTTCTTTGGAAACTAAATGCTTGGATTCAAATACTTCAAGAGGCCTGCTTCAGATTTAGTGCCTCTAATATTTGAAAGCTTTGTGAAAATGGTTTAGAAGTTTCTGACTATGACTGTGTCTGAACTGATAAATTTAAGAGAGCCGAGTTGCAATGCTGAATCACAAAACAAATCATGACTCTTATTTACACTTCTTTAGGCTACCTTTCCCTAGGATAGACTGCTTATATCCACACTGCATAGCATATGTGCTATTTTGCTCCAAATATACATCTGTATAATTTTTTTTCTTATCTTTTTTTTCCTGATGGAGACTTTAAAATTCAGTGTCTTAAACAATATGAAGTTTGCATTGCAACACATCAGATACTGGTTTTATGATACAAAATGTAGGAAATGGCTGCATCTCTTGGACATGATGTGAGGGCATTTGGGGATTTTAGGGGTTCAAAATTTGCTTGAATAGTGTTATGAGACTAAACGCCGGCATACCCAGTATTGTCTCATCCACAGTCCTTTCAGTAGTGCTAAATCATACTGCCCAAACTTTGACTTTGATGGAGCTATTCAGTGATCCAAAACAGAGCCAAAATGTGAGCTAACAATTAGGTTGTGTAGATGATCCATGGTTTCACTGTTTAATCTGTCCTGTCTTACTTAGGGATATAGAAATGGTACAGGAATCTCAAAAAATGCTTTTATGTTTAGAAATTGTGACCCATTTCTCTTTGAAAAATTCTAGTCTCTTCAGATTTTGGAGTAGGGAACTGAAAATGGGCAGATGGCAGGGTTTCTTCTTAGATAGGGAAAAAAAAGAAGTTACTAGTCCTGTGAAAATCCTGCCAATTTAGGTCAATTTCTAGAATTTTAAAAGCTTGCACAAATAGAGCAGATTTATTTTTGTAACTGCATTCTTCAAAATGAGAAAGATGGAAATTAAAATGTGATGAGAACCCCCACCACAAGGCTAGCTGAATAAAGTTGATTTTTTAATTGAATGGTTATTAAGTCTTGGAGGAAAGAACAAATAAGAGAGCAGACAGAAAATGGAACTAGAAAGGGACAAGTTTAGGGAGAACAGACAAAAGAGGCAGTACTCAGTAACGCAAGTGATTATACTCACCCCTGAAAACAGAATAGTCCTTACCGTGTTCCACCTCCACTTCTTTAGTTTTATTTCTGTATACAACCAACCAACCACTGAATTTGCCACAAGAATGTTAAGCAATCCTGACTGTGTAGCAGCAGCCCATAGTATTATGAAGGCAAGGCAAAGTTACTCCCAGATAATTCTCTTCAATTAAAATACTTTCTACACTGTCAGAAAACTGCTGAATTATCGTATTTTTAATTATAATTTTTTAAGAACTGTATTTCTCATAATGTGTTGATCAATTATGGCACACCTAAGATCTCTTTTCTAAGTTCCATTCCCTTCCTAACTGGGAAAGTCAGATGATGCTATTTCAAATGAAACCTGTTTATGGCACAGTCGATGCATGTTTTCATTGTGATAGGTATTTTAAAACAAATCATTTACTTCTTACTGTATAATCTGCTTTTTATAACCTAGAAATAGAGAGGTTTTAATACAGATGTGTAGTAATAATAACCTTAAATGCATAGTGTTGTTTTTACTTTATTTGCATTTAAGCAAGGAACTCGGTTATCACTGTGAAGTACATAGGAAGGAAAGAGACTTTAGTGTAGATTGCATGTTTTTCTTCTGACTTTCACTGTCTAATAATTAAAATGTTCTTTATTTTACAGACAAATAAAGAGGCACCTGTGTGGTACAAGAAACTGCAGAAGAAAACATCACCATAGCATTTTTCCAAAATTATTCAAAATAATCCTTTGGGGAGCTTTTCTTTGAAGACAGTTATTTTCACCATAATGATGCCCTTCTTACCATAAAAGCAAATAACTGCTTTGTTTTTAACTGTTCTTTTATACCTGTCAAATGATCGTATGCTTCATAAAATATTTTTTAGATCTGTCATGTGAATAAAACGTGTGGAAATAATGCATGCAAAGATTTTACTAACATATATTTGAATTTTAAAAGATAAACAAACACTAACATATTGCACACATTTGTAATCTGGGCAGTTAAAGGATGCGTTATTGAGAATGTTCAAATTAATGCACGTTTCAGCTTTTTTATGTTGTTTTTCTTGCACCATGTGTTTCATGCCTCATTCCTTGCAACTATTCTGGCTCACAGAAATTTTTAAAATATACATGAGTTAGCATCAGACTATATCCTACTTTCTATGAAGGAAATTCATGTCAAGTGGAAAGAAAATTAATTTCTTATCGACCTTGATTTGTATAGTTTGTCATTTGATGTCATTTGTTCTCCCAAACAAGCATTAAAAATATTCTAAAGAAGCAATAAAATGCATCTTAATTATCACCACTGATACTTAATGGGCTAGATACACTTGCTGTAGTGTAGTTACCTCAGTCAAATAATAAAAATAGAACTATGATGTGTGAGTACTGTAGCATGTAATGGTGAAATGGATAACTTGCCATATTTAATTGTATGAAAATAAGGCTCACTTCCAAGAACACAGCCTACTTATTTATTCCACTCCACCATCTATTTAGACTATAGAAAAGGTCTCTAGTGTTTTAAAGTGCTTTTGACTGCATATGGTACATTTCTATATGTAACATAAGTATAGATTATATTGTTTAAGTGACAGTATACTGAAAATATCGCTCAGATTTCATTTAAGAGGAAGCCTCTTTTCCTTACCTCCTTTTTCCTTGACAGTATCTCTTCAACTAATTCATTGTTCCTACGTGGACATGAGCAAGAATTATTTACTATATAATACCAAGATATATCAAGCTTATGATTCCTAGATACACTTTTCTTCATTTTTCAAACAGTAGTTTGAAGCACAGCGATACTTCCTCTGCTCCAGGTAAGCTTCAGGTTTTGCTTTTTTTTTTCTCTAATTCTGAGCAAGTAAGGTAAAAATGCTAGCAATTGCACATCACAGGTTTAAAATGATTCTGTGAGGGAAGGAGGCCAAGTGTGTAGACAGAGGTAATATCTTTTATTAGACTAGCTGATGTTCACTGGAGAAAAAGCACACAAAACTTTGGGCTCATAAACCTATCTGTACAGACATTCCTAAATAAACTTTGGTTTCCTGAAGTCTAGGGTTTTATCTAACTTGTATTTTTATGTGAATAGAATCATTAACTTCTCTTTCATGTGAAACAGCTCCCATATACAGATACTAATTTTGTAGCTTGTAATAGATATTTTATATGATTCACAGTCTCTAGTTTAACTTCCCAGACTATCCTGTTTGTCTGTTATCACCCAATAATTAATAAATTGTATTATATAGAAGAACTGTGAGCTATTTTAGGCAAGATACTAGGTGGAATCTTAAGTATTCTAAATTTGTTCTCCTATAGTATCCTTATAGACAAATTGGTGAGATATGGGCTATAAGGTGGGTGGAACATTGACTGACACACCAAACTCAAGGAAATGTGATCAACAATGCAAAGTCCAGCTGGCAACTGGCAAATAGTAGCATCCCTCAGCAAGTTAGTAGGTGTCCTGGTTTGGCAGTACCAAATTTGGGGGAGCAGTCTATACACTGGAGGGCAGGGTCTTGGAGGGACCTCAACAGGCTGGGAATTGGGTCAACAAGAACCATATGAAGTTCCAACAAAAGCAATTGCAGTCCCACATCTAGGATGGAATAACCCCATATGCCAGCACTGGCTGGAAAACAGCTTGGCAGAAACAGACCTCAAGGTCCTAGTGGACAGTAAATTGAACATGAGTCAGTAATGTGCTAGCCAACCACATCCTGGGTGGTATTAACAACAGGGTAGCCAGCAGATGGAGGGCAGTGATCCTCCCCTTCTGTTTGGCGCATGGGAGACCACATCTGGAGTGTTGCATCCAGTTTGGGTTTGTTCAAGAAAGACATTGACATATTGAAGTGACTCCAGCAGAGATTCACCAAGACGATCAGGGGCTGGAGCACCTGATGTAGAAGGGGTGGCTGAAAGAACTGGATTTGTTCAGCCTTAAGAATAGAGGGCTTGGAGGGGAATCTGTTGCGGTCTCCAACTACCTAATGGGATGGTACAGAGACAACAGATCCAGACTCCTCTCAGAGGTGCACAGCGACAGAGTAAGAGGCAATGGACACTAGATGGAGCGCTAGAAAACTCAATTAGCTATTATGAAAAATGTTTTTACTGCAAGGGTGGTCAAATACTGGAACAGGTTGCCCAGAGAGGTGGTGGAATCTTCATCCTCGGAGATATTCAGAACTCAACTGGACAAAGTCCCGAGCAACCTGGTATAATTGGACCTCACTTTGAGATGGACCAGATGACTGATTTTCAGAATTCCTGTCCAACCTAAATTACTCTATGGTGATATTTCTAAATATGCTAATATAAGATAGTGACATTAATTTACTTCTTACCATCCAAAAGACAAAAAGTGTTTAATTCTTCCATGGAAATACAATAAGCAAGAACAATTTGATTCTTCCAGAATGAATTGTGCATTGTAAATTTCTGTGTCCTCCAGGCAGCCTGATTTTCTAGGAAGACTGACAGAAAATTAGGCTGATTTGTGGTGAAATTTTATTGACATTTTAACAGTTCTTCAGATGACAAAGTGACATATTCTGGCACCGGGGGTGTGGGGGGGTGGGGGGCAGTTAGAAAATTACTAACAAGGTCCATCTTTAAATTTGCAAAAATAAAAGTAATTTGTTAGCATATACTGATAACATAATGCTGTTGGTAAATTCTTGTAATCCACGTGGTCCCTGTGTAAATCTCAGTGTAATTTTTTTTTTCAGTTGAATACTTTGTATTTTTCCTGTGTCTCCTCACTAGACTGCAAGGCTCTAATTAATTATCTAGGAGGAGACCTTCTAAGCTTTTCATGTGAAAGCTAGAATGTCACTTAAATATAACTATTCAAATGTGAAATGCCCTACAGCAAAAATTAATGAACCTTTTTACTCTTTAAGTAATGAAAAGGTTCAGTTGCATTACCTGTACAGCATTTTTACTGATGTTCTTTCCCACAACCATAGCTGTCAAATGAATTACTCCAAAATTCTTCTTCATGGTCTTTGCAGTCTCCCATTGTAGTAGACCTTGTGTCAGTGATCTGTGAGTCAAAAACAATGAAATAAAGAGAAATTTCTAAGGGTAGTCATGCATGTAAGTAACTTGTGACTGAAGTGCCCAACCCACATAACCATCCTCAGTTCCTCTTTTTAAAACCAAAGAGAGCAAAGAGAGAAAAATCTCTATCCACTATTACATTTCTTGGTACATTAAGTTGGTGTTACTGAAGTGGTAAGTTTCATAAGTATATGGATTGAACAGGAAAGAAGGAAGGACAATTCGGTTAGAGCAGGTTAGGATGTTTTTCTTTTTTTTTTGACAGTGTAATTGCTTTCTCACCTTTCTGTCTCTTGCTAGAAGCAAAAAAGCTCTAACACATCAAGGAAATATCTTGTTTGAGGAAAAAATTGAAAACATGAAATTGCTTTTTTTTAATAAGGACCTAAACTTTTAAGGCTTGTTGTTGAATCCTGTGGTCGTACATCACTGACATTGTAGTTTCTAAATATTTTCTGTACAAAGAAATAATATATCATTGGGATTTGTAGTCTTCCTGCCCTTCAAGACTTTCTGTACAAAACAGTGATGAAACCTTGTAAAAGAGGTACAACTGTAAATTCAGATATTAGTTGTCTGAGTATTTGTCAGTATCTGTGGAATACAATTTGTTACTTCTTACTTTAACTGTTATTTTCTGTTTCAGTTATCCTTTTGTATGATATCTAGTTCCAGCAAAAAAAGGAACACTAACTGTACTAAACCCCTGACACCTGCAAGATGGTCAGGTAGAATTCTTTTGCTCCTGGTAAGCATTCATCAGCTTCCATATCTTTGGAAGACACGACTCGGACAGCATGACTTTCTAGAAACAAATTACTATCTTTTGAAGAAGTATTTATGTTATTATGTATGTGTGTCTCAATCAATTATCAGTCTGTTGCACATTTACATGAAAACAGATTTATACACAGTTTGCGTCTGTAACAGCCTGTCATCTTTCAGGGTTGCACTCATTAGGGAGGTCTTCTGAGGAAAGAATTTATCTCCCTGTTAACATTACATTCAATAGAACACATGCCAGACTTACTGAGTCAAAGAAATGTATCCCTGGTATTTTCTTATACCGAAGAATATCAAGAATCTGTATTCATTCTCGACCTTTGAAAATGAAACAAGTATCTCTAGAAGATCAAGTTTTGCTTAGTGTCTTTGGGCAACGTTGTCCCCTTCTTAAATTCCTAGGATTGATTTGGAACCCTTGACCTTTAAAATGCATGCTTCTATAGCTTAATTAAGGCAGCTACACTTAGGGTATTTCAGACTGAAGCTGGGCAGCAGTCAGCAGCAGTACAAGGTGCTAGCTCTTGGGGGATGGCATTGCTAGTGGAAATGGACAGTAGTTGGGAATTATGGAGGAGTGAGTGGCAGGTATTGCAGAAGCTTTTAGCAGTAGGAGAAATAGGTACAGCTCTTCGCAGATGTTAGACCCTCTGCAGCTCTTTAAGCCCTCTGCTGACAACACAAGAACCACCAACTTTGTTCCACAGAGTTCATTTTGTAGGGTTCCCTGCGTTTCTTTACTCACTGATAAGTTTTCCATAACAGTAAATACCTGTATTTTTCTTTTCTTTTTTTTTTTTTTTTTTTGAGAGAGAGAGAGGGAGACTCCTTTTTCTCAGAACAGTGGA